CATCTTTCCCGACATTTCCTACACCTGTCTCTTAGATGATGCAAACGGCATCCTGTCTCCTCATCCATGTACAAACATGTGCACCAGGTTGCTATGCGAACAGTTCAAGAGCATCGAACCATAAACCCTCAACCCTAAACCCTAATCCCTAAACCCTCAACCCTAAACCCTCAACCCTAAACCCTAAACCCTAAACTCACCAAGCTCACGCCGAACCTGAAGGGATGGCTGGCACAGCACTGGTGGAGCCAGTGCTGCTTGTGCAGAAGCCATCAACCGCCAATGCGGGCATGGGACTCTTCGAGTCGGATGGCAGATCTGACTTTGGCTTTTGTACAGCCTGGAAGCAGAAACACAGGGTTGAGGGCTTTAGGGTTTAGGAATTAGGGTTTAGGGTTTAGGGTTTAGGGGCTTTGTAGGGTCGTGGTGTCTTAGGCCCCTAAACCCCAAACCCCGAGCGCTGAATCCGAAGTTGGGTTAAAAGGAGCTACTTTGGGATGTTCCCCTTTGTAGTACCAGTCCTGAGTAGAACATTAACCCTAAACCCTATAAACTACCCCCCTCTAGGCTTCCCCCATAATGAAAGCTATGTAGGGCAAATGAAGCCGAACTGAGGTTATTTAAGGTGGGAACCTAGGGGGTGGGCGGGGGGTAGTGAAACCCATGAGGAACACTAAGCACTCACAGAGGACCTGGGCCTACAGGCTTTGGCAGCCGCTGTTGCTTTGCAGGGCACCCGTGGGGGGGGGGGGGGGGGGGAGGGTTTTGGGTTTCGGACTCCTAGAGTTTAAGGGGTGCTCCTAGGTTAGGAAGCCGTCCATAAGTTCACATGTCGCCATAAGCCCTGAACTATAGGGTCCTTGAGGGAGGGGGCTTCGTGGGGAGTAGGGGGAAGGCTAGGGGGGAGCTTAGACCTTGGGTCAGGGTTTAGGGTTTAGGGTTTAGGGTTTAGGGTTTAGGGTTTAGGGTTCAGGGTTTAGGGTTTAGGGTTTAGGGTTTAGGCCCCCTTGAGCGCCCCTTTCTCAAGGACCCTATAACTAAGGCTTCAGGGCTCTTTTGTTTTTGGGTTTTTTCTCGACAGCTTAGGAGTTTTGGGGGGTTTAGGGGCGTTTAGGGTTTTAGGGTTTAGGGTTTACGGTTTCGAAACTAGGGCGGTCGTTTAGGGTATAGCCTGTTTTGCTTGACCTGTTCCTGTGTGCGGGCGTAGGTCTTGTTACATGCGGGTCCCGGGCGTACTCTTAGGGTAGTTGCATCGTCCCTTAGTATGTGGGTTTAGGGTCCAGGTTTTAGGGTTTTGGGCCCGAAGAAGCGGATCCCAGGGGTTTAGGGTTTAGGGTTCAGAGTCTAATTCGGGTTTAGGGTTTAGTGGTTTGGTCTTAGGGGTAGTTACATAAAGGGGATCCCTCCCCTTATATACCCTATATAGCCCAACGGCCCATACTTCAGAACCCTTTAAAGGAGGTCAGGGGCCATATTCAGGGCCCATAGAACTACCCTTAGAAACGTGGCATGGTTGACGATATTGACAGGAGTGGTATTGGTCTTGTCAACAACGCTAATGTTTGCATACCCTCAACACCCTAAACCCTGAACCCTAAACCCTAAACCCTAAGCCCTAAGCCCTGTTCTTTTTTGTCCCCCGAGTTTCCTGTAAGGCTGTTCTCTACTTGCTGGCTCTTAGGAGATAACCCATTTGTATACCACCCTCGAAGGACCCCGAAGCCAAGGAAATACTGCGGTTTAGGGTTTGGGGTTTGGGGTTTGGGGTTTAGGGTTTAGGGTTTAGGACCCAAACCCTAGCCCCTTGTTTCCCCCCAAATGTAAGATGCTGAAAAAAAGTGCCGCACTAGGCTCGGACAGCTGCCCCTCTGCCTGAACGAGGACTGGGGCGATGCCAAAAGGAAAGCAAAGGCCAGTCTGCCAGGTGTTTTGAGTTTCTTGTTTTTCGGGGTTTGGGCTTTAGGCTTTTTGGGTTTTAGGGTTTTAGGGTTTTCGGGTTTTGGGTTTTAGGTTTCAGGGTTCAGGTAGAGTTTAACTTGCGGACTCGTAGTAGGGAACGAGTTAGGCACCCTATCGAATCCCTTAAAGGGTTAGATTTAGGGGATAGAAGGTACCTATTTCCCTCATTCCATACAAAGAAACCAGTAAGTTAAAAGGGCATATAGGGCTTGTAGGGTTTTGGGTTGAGAGCGCATATCTTTTAGGGTTAGGGTTGACGAGGCTTAGGGCTTCGGGTAGGTATGCAGCTGCTTGGAGGTTCATTTGGACTTAGAACCCCACTTATAATTATGTCTATTTATAGCCTACTTAGGGGACTTAGGGGGTGTATAAGTGCAGCTACAATTCGGGTTCTAAGCGCCGTTGAACCTCCAAGTGCTCTCGATGAGGCTCATTTCCTCTGTGTGGAATATAAAGTTTAGCATCTGGCAGGAGGAGGGAATAGAGCTGCAAGGGTTTAGGGTTTAGGGTTTAGGGTTTAGGGTTTAGGGTTTAGGGTTTAGGGTTTAGGGTTTAGGGTTTAGGGCGCAGGGTTTCGGATTTAGGGTTGTAAGGTTTGGGGGCCACCAGCGCCTTGAATCGGGAGTTTGCCTTGGGGTTCGGGTTTGGCGGGATTCAAGGTTGAAAAAAAGTTGGCTCCATGGTCTGGGGTGCCTAGAATTTGTGGAGCAGCTTAGGACGCCAAACCCTAAACCCTGAACCCTAATTATGAGGTCCGAACTAGGTCATTCAGAACCCCTGAGTTCGAGGTTATACATACAAGTATACGTACATATACACGGTTAGGTTAGAGTGCGCAGGGGCCCATCTAAACCCTAAACCCTAAAACCCCCCACCCCAAACCCCAAGCCCCAAACCCCAAACCCCAAACCCTAAACCCTATACCTTAAACCCTAAACCCTTAATCCTAAACCCGAAACCCTAAACCCTATCCCTGAACCCTAAACCCAGTTGTGGGTGACTTGTGAGGCAGGCCCTTCGCACAGCTTCCAGCGCTGTCGAGCCCCCGGCTCGATTCCTACCCTGCCCCTTTTTTGAAGCCCTGCGCCCTAAACCCCAAACCCCCAAAACCCTAAACCCTAAGCCCTAAACCCTAAGCCCTAAGCCCTAAACCCTAAGCCCTAAACCCGAAACCCGAAACCCTAAACCCCAAGCCCTAAGCCCTAAGCCCTAAACCCTAACCCCAGGTCCAAGCCCTAAACCCGAAACCCTACTCAATCCTGAACCTCTACACACTCAGCCTTTACAGATTGGGATTTCAGGGTACGAGTGCCGGGGATTGCAGGGTTCAGAGGTTGAGGACTTCAAGGGTTTCAGGGTATAAGTGTAGGGTGTAGGATGTAGGGTTTAGGGTTTAGGATTTAGGGTTTAGGGTTTAGGGTTTAGGGTGTGGGTGAGGCTTAGGTTGGGAACGGCTAGAACACCCCTCAAAGCCCAACAAGCCAAGAATTCGCGAAGCCATATTCACGTTTAGGGTTTAAGTTTAGGGTTTAAGGTTTGCTTGGAGGTTCATGGGTAGTTGCAAGTTAAATGGGGTTAGAAGTCCCTGAATAGAGATATAGGTATAGTTACCATACTCATAACCCTACTTATAACTTCCCATGTAGAGTCTCGGAGGTCGCTCAAAAGCCCAGGAACACCAACACCTCGCAACCCAAAATCCTGCAGAGGAACCGAGACAGATCACGCTTTCAGCTCTCATTCCGGGCGTTCGGGGCTTCGGGTTTACGGCTTATGGTGTACTAAACCCTAAACCCTAAACCCTAAACCCTAAACCCTAAACCCTAGACCCTAGACCCTAAACCCTAAACCCTACAGTTTCGGAGCCAACTTCAAGGCTCATGGGTTATGCTGGCTCAGGTGCTCGAACCTCCCCCAACCCGAAACGGTGGGCATCCCACACCCCACTTCCGACACCCATGGTTTAGGGTTTAGGGTTTAGGGTTTAGGCTTCAGGGTTCAGGGCTGCGGCAAGATGATCCATGATTGATTGATTATACTTAAAACCCACCTAAAAGCCCCTTTTTGTGCCCTAACATTGTCATAAGATTGGGTTGTAAGTACACTTAGAAGTGGGCCAATAAGTATCCTAAACCTCCAAGCCCTGACAACTAGACCTAACCCCTAAACCCTAAACCCTAAACCCTAAACCCTAAACCCTAAACCCTGGCCCCTTCGTAGAATACTGGGGTTTCAAAAATGGCAGGCTGGTTCGTCCGAGGGGATGCCGGGACCTGAAGACTGAATAGAGAGCATTCAGGGTTTAGGGGCTTTAGGGTTTTAGGATTTAGGGTTTAGGGTTTGGGGTTTAGGGTTTAGGGTTTAGGGTCTAGGGTTTGGAGTAGGGTTGGCGTTTAGGGGGCGTGCGGAGGTCGCCTATGCTTCTTCGAACCCCTCCTTCGACCTGCCCCTGAAACTACAAGCCCTATACCTAAACAGCTTGGCATCTCGACTAGTTGTGCAGTTTGGGTTTAGGGTTTAGGGTTTAGGGTTTAGGGTTTAGGGTTTAGGGTTTAGGGTTTAGGGTTTAGGGTTTAGGGTTTAGGGTTTAGGGCTTGAGGCTTAGGGCTTAGGGCTTAGGGCTTAGGGCTTAGGGTTTAAGGGCATTGAGTTTAAGGGCATTGAGCGTGACATGTACAAACGTCCCTGAGTTCACCTCTCCTTGGTAGGAAACAGCTAAGGGATGGGCACAGCGCATAGTTTTTCACATGACGTTGCCGGGGTTATAGGGTTCTGAATGGAGGTTTAGGGTTCAGGTTTAAGGAGCTTATATTTTAGGGTCCTTGAGGGAGCTTTACGGGTTTCGGGGTTTTGGGGCTTATGGTTCAAGGGGGGGTATGTAACCTAAGGTTCCTTAATACTTCTTACTACTCCCTACGGCTCCCTAAGCTGTCCGAAGGTCCCCTAAATACCTACCCTGAATGAACCCCCTAAACCCCAAACCCCAAACCCTAAACCCTAAACCCTAAACCCCCCTCCCTTAAGAACCCGAGAACGAGGTGATGCTCTGGGAAGATGCTGGATCGCTGGACTCACCATGTCCTCAGGTTGGCAAGCAGCCTTGGGGTTTAGGGTTTAGGGTTTAGGGTTTAGGGTTTCGGGTTTAGGGTTTAGGGCTTAGGGTTTAGGGTTTCGGGTTTAGGTTTAGGGTTTAGGGTTTAGGGTTTAGGGTTTAGGGTTTAGGGTTTAGGGTTTAGGGTTTAGGGTTTAGGCTTTAGGGTTTAGGGTAAAACCTTGAAACCTTACACCCCGTAATCCCTGCAAGGAGGACTGGTTTGTTTGAAAACGTTTCTGATGTGCCTGAGGCCTTTTCCTCACCCGGTGCTACCCTTAATACCCTGTGTTTTGAGTCTAATTATTTGGTTTAGGGTTTTTGGTTAGCCGAAAGAAACATGACACAGGGCATCGTTTCAACTCTAGGTTTTAGGGTTTCAGACACTCCGCTTCAAGACCAATTTGCAACAGTTCTACTGGTCAATCTGAACCAGGGTTTAGGGTTCAGGGGGTTCACGGGGTTCACGGGGTTGGGGGGGTTCAAGGGGTTCAGGGCTTCCAGCAGGTTCAGGGGTTCAGGCGTTTAGGGGGTTTAGCGGTGTTTAGCGGGGTTTAGGGGGGTTTAGGGGGGTTTAGGGGTTCAGGGGGTTTAGGGGGTTTAGGGCGATTTAGGGGGTTTGGGGTGCTGGGCACCCGGCGGCTGTCGCCCTTGGTGATGGCGGAAGCCGCTGCCCGCTGCGTTGTCATCCCTTTGTACCCTAAACCCTAAGCCCTAAACCCTAAACGCAAAACCCTAAACCGTACTTGGTTCTTCAATTGGAATAAGGGCCTAAACCCTAAACCCTAAACCCTAAATCCTAAACCCTAAACCCTAAACCCTAAACCCTAAACCCTAACCCCTTCATTACTTGGTTCTTCAATTCGCCGGTTGGTGCGCTTCAACGTTGGCCAAGAGATGACGGGCTGCGATGCTGTGGGCCGTGATGTCTGTGGTTGCGAATCGGCCTCAATCATCATGGCTCAAGAGGACGACTCGATGGACCTTGATGGCTATACTAGGACCCAGAGTAGGGGGTTTAGGGTTTAGGGTTTAGGGTTTAGGGTTTAGGGTTTAGGGTTTAGGGTTTAGGGTTTAGGGTTTAGGGTTTAGGGTTTAGGGTTTAGGGTTTAGGTGCCTATTCCTTTTTGTTTGAGGTTCAGGTTTCCTTTTTCAGCCCCTTGAAGCCAAAAAGGGCGCCCTTTTTTGCTCCTAGGTTGCTGGTGCGTCTGGTCGAAGCCTCCCTTGGTAGCCCAGTGGTGAACTGTTTCCCCTTTTCTTGGTTCAAGGGGCCTTTATAAAGTAACCAACCCACAAAAGGGTACCCTGATTATAATATGGTTGCCCTAAGCCCTAAACCCTAAACCCTAAACCCTAAACCCTAAACCCTAAACCCTAAACCCTAAACGAACCATAGCAGGTGCTGCCAGCCCTGGACGCGCCACAGGAGGAGGACGACGGAACGACGCAGTCACCGCAGGCAGCCTCTGCCGATCTTGAGGTTCATCGGTCATAGACAAATATATGTATATTTCTATGTACCCAGATTATTATTATTATATATATATATATTTGCACTTAGATGTGTATGTATATGTCGCGGGATTCAAGAATATATATATATATATATATGTATACATATAGAACGTATTATAGAGAGATAGATAGATAGATGGATAGATAGGTATATGCATGTATTTATGTATGCATTTATTCGTGTATTTGGTACGCTTATTTACTTTGAGGGTCACGATGAGAGGCCCGAGGGCGAGGGTTTTCGTGGGGAGACTTGACTGCGGCTTCGTGTTGTCGAGGGGGCTTTAGGGTTTAGGGTTTAGGGTTTAGGGTTTAGGGTTTAGGGTTTAGGGTTTAGGGTTTAGAGAGTTCAGGGCAAGGAGGTTTTAGGGTTCAGGGTTTAAGGTTTAAAGAGTTCAGGGCAAGGGGGCTTTAGGGTTCAGTGTTTAAGGTTCAAAGAGTTCAGGGCAACTGTTGTAAGAACCACAGTACTATATTCATGAACCCTTGAAGTAGGGCATGGCTACGGTTTAGTGGTGAAGGGTTGTGCTTGGGAAGGTCGACTGACAGGGTGCAACATATCACCAGAAGCTCAGCTGAAAGTTTGTTGCTACGACACAGCGAGGTGAAAGCCTCCGTGCCTTCAACACGGCCTTCTAACCCAGACCCTTTCGCAGCTTCGCAGATTGAGCCTGAGACGTTCACTTCTTGACTTCTGAACCTGGTTTCTTCTAGACGTAAGCCTTACAATGACCTCCCCTGAACAGGTCCTCGAAACCCTATGATTTGGTAGTAAACCTACGGTAACCCCAGAGATTTTACAAGAGCCTAACGCGGCAATTGCCCTACGATCGCCCCTTTCATGTCCACCAGACGACAAGACCTGCGCAGAACTAGCTAGAACCCAAAAGCCCTAAATGGGTATTTCCCAACATAGGGGTCCCCTTTTACATCCCCCCCAAATAGAATAGAATCCCCTTGAAAGGATCCCCCAAAAGGGTACCCCTATTTTTGGAAACCCCCAAATCCCATTCAGAATGCTGGGTTGCAGGAAGCATGTGATCCTGAGCGTGGGATCACCGCCTTTCTGTATCTGAGTCTTCACCTGAATCGCTCTAGGTTGTGTTTGAGTCTGACGGGTGGATGGCTTAGGGCCGAAATCCTAAAAAGCCCTAGAACCCAAGAATTCTATATCCCAAACCCGAAACCCTAGAACCTTAGAACCTTAGAACCTTAGAACCTTAGAACCCTAGAACCCTAGAACCCTAGAACCTTAGAACCCCAGAGCCCTAGAACCCTAGAGCCCTAGACCCCCAAGCCCTAAACCCAAGAACCCTAGACCCTGAACCCTCAAGCTTGTAGGGCTTTACCGAGTTCACTTTGCTTAGTAGCTGAGTGAGCGCACTTGACACTTTTTGGGATACCATAACCCTTCTAGAACTGAAAGGGTATACTATAATCCCTAATTCTAGAAGTGAAAGGGTATACTTTTTGGGAGACTATAATCCCTCATTATAGAACTGAAAGTGTATACTTTTTGGGGGCTTATGAACTGAGCAACCAAGTTTGAGAGCACGCTCCCCACAGCACGAAGGTTTTGAGAGCTCCAGAGTCCGAAGGCGTTCTTGGTTTTGAGGGGGGTCAGGGTTTAGGATTTAGGGTTTAGGGTTGAGGGTTGAGGGTTGAGGGTTTAGGATTTAGGGTTTAGGGTTGAGGGTTGAGGGTTGAGGGTTGAGGGTTTAGGGTTTAGGCGGTTTAGGGTTTAGGACTTAGGGTTTAGGAGCTTTTAGGATGTGGGTTAAGGGTGGTCTCGATGGTTTCAGATAGGCTGCAGGGTTGGTTGCCTATGCTTGTAATTCCTTGCTAGCTTTTCCCTTCTTTTGGTTCAAGGTCCCCTTACAAAGTAACCAGCCTAAAACAGGGTGCCCTTACTTTGATGTGGTTACTGGTAGACATGCAGCTCAAAGACTTTGACAGATAGGAAGAGGTATCCAGCAAGCCTTGCTCCGAAACTTTGGCCCTAAGCCCTAAACCCTAAACCCTAAACCCTAAACCCTAAACCCTAAACCCTAAACCCTAAGCCTTAAGCCCTAAGCCCTAAGCCCTAAGCCCTAAGCCCTGATCTTGAAAGCTCGAAGCTCGCCGAGGAACACCCCTGCGTGGCCACCGGAGTGGGGAGGAGCTCTGAGGCAACACGGCAACTCACGGCCTGCGCACTTGCTCTTCAAGAACGTACTTGTTTAGGGTTTAGGGTTTGGGGTTTGGGGTTTAGGGTTTAGGGTTAGGGTTTAGGGTTTTTTGTTTCGTCTAGGGTTTAGGGTTTAGGGTCGCTGCAAGCATGAATACTGCGTCTTCATTCTGGCAAGTTGAGGTGTCCGTATGTGTAAATGTTGCGATGGCATATACGGACCCAACACTAAAGGCTGATACCGAGGGCCCCCATACTTGAAACCTCAGACCCTGGAAACTAAGCATGTTCTTAGTCGCTGCCTATAGTCCCAACAGTCATCTCCTAAATGCAAAACTTCGCCTGAGTCGCGCTCTCAAGCCTAACCCCATCAGGGATTGTTCTAAGATTTTGTGGATCCCTTTTGGGATCCTTTTGAAGCTTCATTTCCTTGCCAGGATAGCCCTTCCCCACCAACCCTAAACCCGACAGCCGTAGAACCCTATAACCCTACAGCCCTAGACCCCCAACTCCCGATAACCGTATAACCCTCTAGACCCAAGGAAGAACAAAGTCGCGAAAGGTGTCATTTGGGCTCCATCTCCCGTGACGTGTGGGGAGATGGGGGTCGACTCGTTCTTCTCCGCGAGGCGGTTTAGGGTTTAGGATTTGGGGTTTAGGGTGTAGGGTTTAGGGTTTAGGGTGCCAACATTCCCACCTTGGGGGCATTCGTGGGTTCCCCTTCTAAGCCCCCTCTATACTACCCCCCCGTAGGTTCCCCCATGCTTATAATGCTATGTCGGGATGATTCAGCCTAACTAAGGTTATTTAAGGGGGAACCTAGGGGGGGGGGGGGGGTAGTGTAGAGGGGGGTAGTAGGGGAACCTGATTGAGGTATAGGGTTTAGGTTTATTCCAGGGATTTCAATCGTGGGGTGAGACGGAATTACTTCTTGGCCTTCTGGCTAGATCTTAGGACTTTAACTTTTGGGTTTAGGGTTTGGGCGGGGTTTGGGTTTTAGGGTTTAGGGTAATCTTGGCTTTCTTATGGCTGGCTTTTAGGACTTAGCTTTTTGGGTCCTGTAGAAACTACAACAAGGAGCCCAAGAGTTAAACTTTTAGCAGGTGTTCAGAAGTCAGCCAAGACTTGCTACAGTTTCAGGAGTACGGCTCTGGCTTTGAGGGCTTGCCTGAGAGGGCTTGTAAGATTGATCGGGTCCCTGAGCAACATGCCCTGCTGCATGGAATTCCAATAGTAGTAAACCCTAAACCCTAAACCCTAAGCCCCAAACCCCAAACCCCAAACCCTAAACCCTAAACCCTAAACCCTAAACCCTAAACCCTAAACCCTAAACCCTAAACCCTAAACCCTAAACCCTAAACCCTAAACCCTAAACCCTAACCTAAACCCTAAACCCTAAACCCTAAACCCTAAACCCTAAACCCTAAACCCTAAACCCTAAACCCTAAACCCTAAACCCTAAACCCTAAACCCTAAACCCTAACCCTAAACCCTGCGCGTCTTCACCTACAGTCCGGGATGAGCCATGGGAAGCTCGCTGGCCTCGTTCCTCGGGTGTTAAGAAACATACTTAACTAACCTAACAATAACTATCGCCTCTAAACTCCAAACCCTAAACCCTAAACCCTACAAACCCGCACTAAACCCCACTCTGAACCCCCCCCCCCCCCCCCCCCCACTAAACCCCCACTAAACCTCCTGAACCTCAAACCTCAAACCCCAAACCCCAAACCTCCTAAACCCGAAACCTCAAACCCCAAATCCTAAACCCTAAACCCCAAACCCTAACCCCTAAACCCCAAACCCCAAACCCCAAACCCTCAACCCCAAACCCCAAACCCCAAACCCCAAACCCCAAACCCCAAACCCCAAACCCCAAACCCCAAACCCCAAACCCCAAACCCCAAACCCCAAACCCCAAACCCCTCCACCTGCGAGGCGCACAGCTATGAGCTCCTGCCGTCAAGGCGGCCGCAGACGGTGCGCTGGGCCGCAAAGAAATGGGGGGTTCCGGGTGTTTAGGGTTTGGGGTTTGGGGTTTGGGTTTTTGGGGCTTGGGGTTGGGGGTTGAGGGTTGAGAGTTGAAGGGTTTGGGGTTGAAGGGTTTAGGGATTCTGGTGTTTACCCTGAAGGTTTGTTTTCATTCCAGTAGTTCTAGAGTGTAGGTTGAGCTTTGGTTTCCCTAAACCCTAAAGTGAAGCCTAAACCCTAAACCCGAAACCTTAACCTAAACCCTGAATCCAAATCCTCAACCCCAAACCCGGAACCTCGAAGATCTAGTCTCCAAGTCCCAAACCAGATTGAGACCCCGTTTCGCGCATGGTCCTGGACTCCTCTGATGCGTAAGGCGGTCTTTGAGTGCCCAATACCCCTGAATTAAGGCATACTTCACCTTAATGCATATTTAGGGACAAAGTCCTTAATTGATTTCAGGAATATGCCTGAATGTACATAGGGATGTATTCCGCAATTAAGGAATCTACCTCAACGTATTTGTATTCCTGAATGAGTCAAGCGGTATTGGGCTCTTTGGGGCGCTTCAGCAAGCCTGAACCTTAAACTAGGGTTTAGGGTTTAGGGTTTAGGGTTTAGGGTTTAGGGTTTAGGGTCCGGAGTCAGGGAGGTGAAGGGATTGAGGATCTACGCCTTGCGCACGAGGTGTAGGAAACCCTTTTCATACTCCAGGGGAGTGTAGAGGGCGATGTCCAAGGCCATGCAGAATTTTCCTTCCAACGCGGCAAGAGGTCCTCAAGACGCTACTGAACCAAGGTATATGTCCAGCACATGGACCCACCTGAGAACCCAGAAAGGAATGCCATGGAAAGCATGGGCCAGTTGCAATCCGGAGGGTTTGCAGTGAAGCGACCAAGGTGTGTCAAGCCGGTCAGGGTGTTATCAGTGTCAACGCAGATCGATGCCAGCTGCTCAAAATGATTATATACAGAAGCCTGCGTAGTTCCTACAGCGTACGCGTACTGACGGAAGATGAGGAGAGAGACCCGAATCGAATCTTGTGTCTTGCCCTTCACAGGCGTCAGGCACAGATTGCACGAGTTTGTAGTAAGCCTGCGGAAAGCAGTTCAGGGTTCAGGACAGGGGCGAGCGCCAACACAGCCGACTAGGGAAGCATGTGTATCCCCGGAGAGAGGGTTTGCAAAAACGACCTAAACCCTAAACCCTAAACCCCAAACCCTAAACCCAAAAAGTTTCAATCTTGGCCCCCTGCAAGCTTTACGAGATCACCCAACACATGTTCTTGCGACTCTCCGACCCCAACAGGCGATGGTTTCAAAGGTTTAAGTCTAGGGCTTAATTAGCCTGATGTCAGCTTGAAAAACCGAACCTCCCCCCCAACCCCAAATACCCCAAAAGTGTATAAACCAAAAACGCAAAAAATCAAACAGTGCTTTGCGTCCCTGGTCGGAAAAAAACGGGTGGTGTTTGACATCCAGACATGCCCAGATTAGTGTTTTTGGGGTGTTCAGGGCTTAGGGTTTTGGAGCTTATAGCGATGTTTAGGGTATACATGGGGTTTACCCAAGCCCCAAAACCCTAAACCCTAAACCCTAAACCCTAAACCCTAAACCCTAAACCCTAAAACCGTGTTTGTTCATGAGACAATGGGTTCGCAGCTGGAAGGGCCTGAACCCTAAACCCTACTCCCCGTCCTTGGAAACCCTGATTCGCCCCCCCCCCCCAACCTCCGGATACTCCAAGATTTCGTAGGGTTTAGGGCGTCGGGCGTAGGGTTTAAGGTTTAGGGGTATTCCCGTTATTTTGACGCAGCCGTAGGTGCTGATGATGCGGTTGGAGGGCATGCTGGTGCAACCGGAGCCCAGGAGGGCAAATCCAACCAGGACGAAGCTCGATTTGCGAAACCCAAAACCCCAACACCCTAAGCCCTAAACTCCTAAACCGTTAAACTCCTATAGCCTAAACCTAAACCCCAAGCCCTAACCTCCAAACCCTAAACTCCGAAACCCTAAACTCCTAAAACCTGAACCCGCAAACCTTAAGCCCCTAAACCCTAAGCCCCTACACTCCTAAACCTTAAAACCCTAAAGCCTATAAACCCCTAAACCTGCAAGTTCGAGCCAAACCACGGCATTTTCAAGTCACAGGGCTTAGGGTTTCGGATTGAGGTTTTAGGGTTTAGGCACCTGGAAAGCAAATTTAGGGTTTAGGGTTTAGGGCTTAGGGCTTAGGCTTTAGGGTGAGTGTTTTTGTCAAAAGAGTGTTGGGTTTAGTGGGCTGTCGGGCCTAGAAGGGTTTTGGGGTACAAGTTTGGGACTCAAAGCTGTCTGGACTGAAGGTTTTTTAGTTCAGATCTAGCGTTTGCGGTTTGCGGCTTTCGTTTTAGGGAATCAAAGAGTCCCAACCCCGAAATCCGCGCCAGAACCCACGAACTCAGGAGGTGTCTTAAGTAGCCGGTATCCTTCCCTGCGACCTTCTGAACTGACAAGTTAAACGATGGTTTGGGGTTGAGGGTTTGGGATTTCGGGTTTAAAGTCTTAAGCCGTCTTTACACGATGCAGCTGACTTGCTGGAGAGATTCTCCAACGCCCATAATAGACTTCTTGGTCGTGACACACTAGGGTTTTGGGGTTTTGGGGTTTTGGGGTTTGGGGTTTAGGGTTCGGGGCTCAGGGTTCAGGGTTCAGGGTTTAGGGTTTAGGGTTTAGGGTATAGGGTTTAGGGTTTAGGGTTTAGGGTTTAGGGTTTAGGGTTTAGGGTTTAGGTAGGGTATCAGCCTTCACCAAGCTTAGGAACTTCACTGCAATTGACTGGCATGGCCGCTCAAAGCCCCAAGCTGTGCCCAGAGACTCCACTGATCTCTCAACGTAGGTTTATTCAGGGTTTAGGGTTTAGGGTTTAGGGTTTAGGGTTTAGGGTTTAGGGTTTAGGGTTTAGGGTTTAGGGTTTAGGGTTTAGGGTTTAGGGTCAGGGTTCTAAGTTTAGGGATGGGTTCCGGGTTCTGAGGCCTCCTTTTGGTGTACGCAAAGTATGAGGTAGGCTCTCCAAACATGGACCCCGGCCTTCGCTAAACCCTTAAACCCTAACCCTCAAACCCCTACACCCTCAAACCCCTACACCCTCAACCCTCAACCCAAAACCCTCAACCCTCAACCCTCAACCCTCAACCCAACTGCAGCTTTCTCTCAAAAGCTGCCGAAGCCACACAGGGAAACTAAGGGTGACAGGCCAGGGCCCTCAGCATCCCCGGCGCCGAGCTCATCATCCCAACGGTCACCTGATCCTTTAGGGTTTAGGGTTTAGGGTTTAGGGTTTAGGGTTTAGGGTTTAGGGTATGTTTTTAAGGGTTAAACAAGACATCTCTTCCTCATGTTCCTTCTTTTGGGCAAGAGGAACCATAGTTGAGAACTGGCCAGGTCGACCTCGAGGCCCTCCCCCACCCCATGATGTTCCTTGAGGTTTTTATTCACCCAAAAAGTTAGGGTTTAGGGTTTAGGGTTTAGTGTTTAGGTTGTTCGCTCGCGCGATGGCTCGGGCGTTGTCGCAACCGTCTGCCAGACGGAAAAGCAGGACGCGGGATTCAAGGGGGAGCCCTAAACCCAAAACCTGACTCTGGTGGCTCCTGGAGCCCCCAAAAACCCAAACCATAACACCCTCAAACCCAAACCTGAAACCCTAAGACCAACTTTCGCACCCTTCAACACGTCGCCCCCGAGCCCTAAACTTCAGGCTTTTGGCGTTTCTTTTAGGGCTTTCAGGGTTTTTTCGGGCTCTTGGGTGTATTTAAGGGTATATAGGGTTTTGAGGGGTTTAGAGGGGTTTGTAGGGGCTCACAACCCCAAGCCCCGAACTCCCTTGGGGTTTAGGTTTCTTGTAGGAGCCCAATGACCACGGCCCTCCGGTCGTACCTTTTCCCCGCTTTTTGTAGCGGGGTTCGGATCACTTGTTAACCGATCGAAAACCAGTAGCAAACCCTGTCTGTTTTTGTCGTGTAGATCAGCCCTAAACCCGAAACCCGAAACCTTAAACCCTCAAACCCTACACCCTGAACCCCTAAACCCTAAAACCCTAAACCCTAAACCCTAAACCCTAAACCCTAAACCCTAAACCCTAAACCCTAAACCCTAAACCTTAAACCCTAACCCCACAAGTCCGAAGTTCTGGGAGCTGCCCTCTTGCCAGGAGGTTCATGGTACTTATTAACCAAAGAGAACTGTGCCTATAACCCACTTCTAAGCCCCTTAAGTGCTGCCCTAAGAAGGTTATAAGTACAGTTGTAAGTACAACTACCCTAGAAGTACAGTTAGAATTGGTTCATGAGTACCATGAACCTCCAAGTCGCAGGAGGTCGCCTGCGCAGATTGGCGGCTGATCTCGAAATTGTGGGTTTAGGACTTGGGATCCCATTTGGGTAGGGTTTGGGGTTTGGGGTTTGGGGTTTGGGGTTTAGGGTTTAGGGTTTAGGGTTTAGTGTTTACAGGGGTAGGCTTGAAAATCGTCTTATTCTTTCATTGCCCTCAATCCCCTATATAGTCCTTATAAAGCCATGAAAAACCTCAGTTTTTTGTCGGGCCCCGAAACCTACCCCCAAGTCCGTGACCCTAAACGGCAAACCCTAAACCCTAAGTGGAAGAACAACCCTAAACCCTAAACCCTATTTCTCATCAACGAAGGGTGACAAGAACTGCTGCAAGGAATGCGGCACTTGGTCTGAGCAACCGCAGATTGCACGATTGATTGCATTTTGTCTCCGGGCTCAGATTTTGCGGAGACTTGCGGCTCAGGGTCATCTGGGGACGCTCAGCCTGGGCTTTTTGATGATGCGTAGGGTTTAGGGTTTAGGGTTTAGGGTTTAGGGTTTAGGGTTTAGGGTTTAGGGTTTAGGGTTTAGGGTTTAGGGTTTAGGGTTTAGGGTTTAGGGTTTAGGGTTTAGGGTTTAGGGTTTAGGGTTTCCACACCCCGAAGTGAGCAGCAGGAGGGAGCAGCCCAACATCGGAAGAATCAGCAGTGACATCCCAACCTCCACATTTTGACGGTGTGTCTACGGTTGAGTCTAGGGCTTTTAGAGGGCTTTCTGTTCCCACATGAAACTGTTTGAAGCCTGGTCCTCCCGTACTGCAAAAAAGCCTAGTTTTTGCCGTGAAACAGCCTTTTGTTACAGACACTGCGAAACAACAGCTAGTGACTTCAACATTAGCTCGATATCCATATATTTTGTATTTGTATCCACAACAAGAATACATTGGGTCCTTTGAGCACTCCTCCCTCTCCCCGAGGCCTTAACCTCCCTAACCTTAAACTCCAAGCCCTAATGCTCCTCAACTCCAAACCCTTCCACCCAAGAAACCCTAAGCCCCAAACCCCAAACCCTAGACCTCAAACCCTAAACCCCAACCCCTAAGCCCCAAACCCTAAACCCAAACGCTAAACCCCAAACCCAAAAGCTAAACCCTAAACGCCAAACCCCAAGCCCCCAAACCCCCCTAAACCCCAAACCCTAAACCCTAAAACCGAAACCCCAAACCCCACACCCGAAACCCCAAACCCTAAACCCTACACCCCAATCCCCCAGAAAAGAGCCTCGGGCGCCGAGGAGCAGCCCTGGTGCATCTTGGACTTCGAGGAGACTCTTTTGGGGGGTTTAGGGTTTAGGGTTTAGGGTTTAGGGTTTAGGGTTTAGGGTTTAGGGTTTAGGGTTTAGGGTTTAGGGTTTAGGGTTTAGGGTTTAGGGTTTAGGGTTTAGGGTTTAGGTTGTAAGTTTTAAGGTTTAGGGTTTAAGGTTTAGGGTTTCGGATTTAGGGTTGAGGGTTTAGGGTCTAGGGCGCGCAGCATCCCATTGTTCATGTGGTTCAGTGCTCACCTTCAGGAAGATCTAAAGGTAAAAGGGCACATTCCGGGTTTAGGGATTAGGAGAGATCCACTGTTTTCTATAGGGTTTAGGGTTTAGGGTTTAGGGTTTAGGGTTTAGGGTTTAGGGTTTAGGGTTTAGGGTTTAGGGTCAAACGGTACTGGAATAGGATGATAGCGGCCTAGCTCCTGGACAAGCTCTTAAGATTTACCTGGTCTTTCCTGCGCATGTAGACCTCAGATCTGTTCTCGCTTCAGGAGTAGGGCTCAATGTGTAGGAGGTTTTAGGGTTTAGGGTTTAGGGTTTAGGGTTTAGGGTTTAGGGTTTAGGGTTTAGGGGCTGAAACCTAAAGCCCAGCTCTGTCAAACATGTCCGAAGCTCAGGGCCTTGATCCCTGCATCCAATGCGGCTTTGTGTTGAAGGCTTAGGGTTTAGGGTTTGGGGTGTAGGGTTTAGGGTTTGGGGTTTAGGGTTAAGGGTTTAGGGTTTAGGGTTTAGAGGTTCGGAGCTCAGGGTTTAGGGTAAAATCTGCTCTGACATCACGCCGGCGCTTGCTCCAAAGGCTTTTGGCCAGCCTGGGTGCCGCGGCCTCCTTCTGCGGTGTGGCTCTGCTCAACCGCAGCAGGGCGTTGTCCAATACACCCCTTAATGAAGGGGAGAATTGTCCTTAAAGTATAAGAGGGTTCCTTATATGGTTTAAAGAGCATTCGAATATTCCTTAAAGTATAGGAGGGTTCCTTATATATAGTTTAAGGAGTATTCCTTAACTAAGAGGGGTATTGGAGTCATGAAGTTTTTTGGGGTACCTAAACCTTGGCAGCCCACTGGTGCCCTTTTCCTCTTTTTGTTTCACGGTTCCCTCCTACAGGAACCAACCCCCAAAAAAGGGTGCCCGTGTTATGGAATATGGTTTCTGGGCGACCACGAAACCCTAAACCCGTCGCGGGCTTTTTGGAGGAACATATGGCTTGGTTTTGTGGACACGAGGATGAGAAGTGCCGGCTGGGCGCAGGGTTTAGGGTTTAGGGTATACTC